TGTCAACAACTACCCCATCTTAAGCCAAGTTTAACCTAAGATGACATTATCGTATAGTGGTAATCAAGGTCGTATTTTACACAGGTCCTGGTATCCTAGCCTACTTCCCACCTGATTGTTAATTAGTTAATCGGTTTTGGAGGTTTGAGTGGAGGATTTGAGGGAACTACTAGCTTTAGAGATTGAATAAAGATAAAATCAGGTACTTCGGGGAACTATCCCCCACCCTAGCCTAGGGTTACTACGCATGTATAAATACTTAGGGTTATCGAATGTGGTGAGTGATCTCGTTTTCGTGGGCTTTTTTGGTTATCCACACACCTCCGAGTGCATCTCCCCTAGACCCATATAAAGTCACCTCGATCTAGGCTATCATATCTGGGACACTAAGCATATAGCTACTTTAAATGGATACTATCCACCGTCCATACTGAGGTTTTATCCCGGGTTCTATCTAGGAAGGCTACCTATAGCAGGGGTTCGCTCGCCTTGACCACCATAGGTCCCTATTCATACATCTACCTCGATTTGCTTGACGGTGCATACTTGTCTAACATTAGAACTCCATACCGAGAGTAGAAGCATAAAGTAGGCTAATAGAGAAGATTAGGGCGACTTACCCAAACACAATCAAAGATAGAATAGCAATAGAATCAACTAGATAAACACATTCATTGATTCAAACCCTAAAATATCCATACATACATAGTAAACCCTAAAACTAGGGTTTGGGGTTTAGAACCCCTAGTACCTTAGAGGACTACTTCATAAAGGAGGGAATAAGATACATAGAAGAAATTGAAGAAGACTTGAGGTTGAGGAAGATGCCTCCTCTCTTCTAGCTCCTTCTCCTCTTATCCTTCCTTTAGCTTCTCTCTCTTCTCTCTCTCTAAAACCATAAATTCTTCTCTCAAAATGAGCTTGTAACACCCTACCCTGTACGTATTACCTAATCATATTGTTCATACAATTGCAGCGGAAATAATCTCGGGTGTTACATTAATTACCAAAATTTACCCAAATAAAATTTCGACATGAATTACTCGCGTAATGGGCTAACAGTTCTTCCATCTAATCCTGCAAAATAATTCATCTAAATCCATGCATTCATAGACAAACATATACACTCACTGCCATATGCATTGGCTTTTCATAGCCATAGTCACAGTTTCATGTTACACAACTGCATACTATATTGATACATGCCATAATCGTCACAACTTACATAATTACACAAATATACACATATCATCAACTTTCCACACCTGTGGATAGCTCACATTACATCAGAAGCTAGTATGCACATGAAAAACGTTCTCAAAACATTTTACAAAAAGGTGTGGATCACTGGCCAAAATCTCAAGTAGTCGTCCAAGCACAGAATAGTTGAAGACCATACCTCATCTTGACTTCAACTCTAGCTCCTCTCCCACCTAACACCTATCTACTGCTGCTGCTGATGATCTACTTACACATACCATAAGCAGAGAAAAAGAATAAAAGAGGGTCAGCTCATAGCTGAGTGAGATAATCATAGTATCGTGAGTTCATAACAGAGCATACCCCTACCATACAGCTAGCAAACAAGCCAAAGCACTAGGATCAGACCTCAGGCATCCGACATCCCAATAGGCAAAAGACTCAACCATGTTGACTTATGCATATGCATCTTATCATGTTTTATTTATAGGCGCCTGGCTACTCCCATGCTAATTACTCTCCCGGGAATACAGACCAAACATCTCGTGGATGTGGTCATATCGGACCCACCACTGTCGGTGTAGTCATATCGGACCTGACACCACGATGGGTGTGGTCATATCGGACTCAACACCACTCTGGGTGTGGTCATATCTCATGATGAATCAACGGTCAACACCACATCAGGGGTGTGACATAACATATCATAACGGAGTAATAGCATGGGGAGCCCTAATTACTATGTAATTGACCATGAGACCAAATCACTCTTACTTGATGTCCTTATACATGATCCATATCTCATCTTGCTTAATCATAATTCGTTACTTACACATGTACTTGACCCGGCCACAATTGGCTCAACATAGGTAAATCAGGAGTCGTATAATTGCACTTCCTCGGGATAAACCCTCGTGCAAGTCATCCTCCTTAAACATCATAATATCACTAGAGAATATATATTTTCCCACATGTGCATCCAAATACAACAATCATGAACCATCATACCCTATCACCTTTTCGAACCATCATAAGGCATATCAACAGTCAAGCCCACAATTTGCAACATATACACAATCATCAGCATAAGCCAGGTCCATATCGATTAGGGCAAGTCAATAATATCATATAGCAGTCCAGGGTTCATCATATAGCACAAAAGTCCATACACCCCTAATCATGCCATTCTAGTTCACCTAGGTCAATTCTAAGCATCAATATAATTATCGTGATACGACAAACCCGGTATGCCGTGCTAATCCCTCACCAGTTCTGGTCGTTCAAACACCGGTTCTAGCCTCCCGTACTAAAACGTCAATTTCACCAACGAACCCTGAATTAAAATCCGAGACCGTCCTAATATCCCCTGCAGTATCCCCGTCAATATTAGTTCTAGGCTCCGGGTCAAATTCTCGATAAAAACACATCAAACCCTGGCCGGAGCTAAATTCAGCGATTAGGACCCCGACCTAAATAATTGCCGAAATTCAGGGATTAGAACTAGAGGATTGATTACCTCGCTGCAGGAAGCTCGTATATGAAATTTGGGCTCAATCCGGCTTCCGGATACTCCGAAACCCTAATTTGGCTTATCGGGAATTCAAGAAATTCCTGAACCAAAAACTCGTTTTAAAACTCTAAATCGATAAATCACGATGTATAGATGAATTAGGCATTACTTACGGGATTTTTGGATCACTGTAGCTCAAGAATTGAGCTTTGGAAATTTTACCCGCGATGCCCTGTGCGCCTCTGCTTCTCGGTCCAGAAAAATGGAAAGGAGAAGAAGTGGAATGGGAAAATGATGGGTCGGTGGAATTAAATGGACCGTGCATATATATATATATATATATATATAATTAATACGTATACTTATCCGATCGATTGATAATCCGATTTTCGTCGAAATAGTGTCGAAATGCTCGATTTTAAATCGCGAACTTTCTAGCGATCGAAATATGGGTTTTGCTGGAACGGGATGTTACAAAGCTCTTGTAAAAGGAGAAAGGGGTCTCTAATTTATAGGCAATAAGAGGACGGACAAGTTCACGGCAAGAAGGGCAGAGATCGCGGGCAGGATCTTCAGAGGAGAGGCCGCGATCTTGAAATGCAGTCATACTGGCCTTCCAGATTGAGGAGATCCAGGGCTGACTTCGCGATCGCAATCTTCGAATCGCGGCCACGATCTTCCTCGCGGTCAAAATACATTGTGGCCGTGATTCGACTAGGGAAACTCTCATTTTCTCCTCGGCTCCTTCGCGGCCGCGATCTTGGGCATCTATGCCGGGATCTTCAACTTGTCTTTGCGGTCCAGGATCTCGGTCATGATCTTTACTTCTAGGCCACGATCTTCAGTCTTCTGCCACCTTGCTACACTTGTGATCTTGTTCTTGTTTTGTACCTAATTCGCATATATCGTCTAACACACTCTAAAATCACATCGAATTCAAATATGAACGGAATAGGGATGCAATTGACGACGTTTAAGCATTTATGCACATGAATTGGCATGAAACAAACCTCAATATGAAGGGTAAATAACACAAATTTCAATGTTATCTAGATCCCAAGTGGCTTTTGTTACCTGATTAAATGTACCGAGACTCCGAGTGATATATCAATTAGTCTAAACTACATCATATTCGTTATACACTTTTTCTTCAAAATGAGCACCAAAACCGTCACGTTCATTTCACGAATAAGCTCTCAACTAGTAAATAGTATGTATTATGTAATAAACCAAGTTAGAGAGTGACCAACATTTCTCATATAACAGTGATTTTCCATCCTTTTGTGGAGTTTTAAACACACACATACTCTTCATTGCTCATAAATCTATATTTCGTAGCTAAATAAATGCACATGACGCATGAGATATCCCGTCAAATATTATTGTGAGCCAATAAGCTGTGCCTTCCTCCATAGCGCATAAGGCGAGGAAGAAGGCCCTAACCATCTGTTGTTTATCTTCAATTTATCATCATAAACATCATTTACCAGTGTGACATCCATGAGGCCCTATTTTATTGTTGGATGACATTTTTAAGGTTGAAAGGTGGAAAAATCTTGTATATCCACTATCTAAGTCGCTCTCAAATTTCAAAATCATAACAATAATTTCAAAATCATAACAACTGTCTCTATCATACCATACATATTAAATTTACAAAATAAGCATACAACTTGTACAAAGTTACAAATTAGGAACATAAAGTTTGTTTATAGGCATTACAAATAAGTTTTATAAACACTACAAACCGCAGTAACAACTATAACAAGGGTCGTTTGGAAGTTGCGATTATTTTGATGAGATTGTTACTATACATGTATTGTTTAGAATGCATCATTTTCCCCGATTTTTTAGGAGAAACAATACATTGATTGTTTCTGTGATGTAGCTAAACTATCACTCAAAATAAGTGATTGTTATCTCAGCTTTTAGTTGTGATTGTTGTGCTGATATTGTTTTTTTAAATGTTGACATTATTTTGTCTCAGTTTTTAGTTTATTTGACATACACAATCATACATACCAAATATTGTATTTTACAATGCATTAAATTCAACAATACGTATATAATACACACGGTGACAACTTCCAAACCAACCCAAAGTTAATAAGTTATAAAACAGTCTGTCTCTTGTACAACTACAACCAGATAATTTCCAATTTCCCCCGAATACCTAAAATTCGATTATGAACCCTAATTTTCAATTTTGAAAGATTCGAAAACAAAAAAGCCAGAAAATGTTTCTTCAATTTCCCAAATTCAAACAACGAGAGGGCCCTCCTTCGGTCCTTCCTCTCTCCCTCTTCTCTGTTTCCACTCCCCTCTCTCACCTCCACTCTCTTCCTGGGACTGGGTCTGGGACTCTCTCTTTCATTTTCTCTCAACAGTTTCACAAGCCAGCGAGAGATTGTAGCTTGCTTTTCCTTCGCCTCTCCCGGTCTCCCCACGGCCCACCCCACCAAATCCAAACTTTACCTTCCTTCTCACTCCATTCTCCAGTCCCACCCTTCCCTCCTTTCTGCAACCTCATTCCTTCCCTTCCTGCAGTTGCAATCTCTGCGAGTTCCCCACGTTGCTTTCTTCCTCCCATCTCTCCAGCGTTTGCTGTTCAGCAATGAGCACCCAGGGGGCTAAATCTGCCAGAAATGCGAAACCCACGACCCAAACTCCACAATCCAGCTCGAGATCTTCCTCCCTCACCGCCCACATGGCCATGGTGGAGCTCAAACAGCGAATCATCACTTCCCTCTCTAAGCTCGCCGATCGGGACACCCATCAGATCGCGCTCGAGGAACTCCACTCCATTATCAACACCCTCTCCCCTGAAGTCCTCCCAATGCTCCTCAATTCCCTCTACGACACCCTCTCCGAGCAGTCCACCGCCAAACCCTCCGTCAAGAAAGAGTCCCTCAACTTGCTCGCCCTCGTTTGCCAGTCCCACCGGGAATTGACGCTTCCCCATCTGGCCAAAGTAATTACCCACATTGTTAAGAGGCTTAAAGATTCCGATTCGGGCGTGAGGGATGCTTGCCGCGACGCGATTGGTGTTTTGTCCGGTTTGTATCTCAAGGGCGGCGGGGAAGGTGATGGTGGCGAGGGGAATAATGGCGGCGGGCATGTGGTGGGGTTGTTCGTCAGGCCGCTGTTCGAGGCTATGGGAGAGCATAACAAAGTTGTGCAGGCGGGCGCTTCGTCTTGTATGGCTAAAATGATTGAGTGCGCTGCTGGCGTGGACAAGGAGGGTTCTGGTCCTGGTGGTGGTGGTGGTGCTCCGGTAGCCGCTTTTCAGAAGCTTTGTTCCAGGATTTGTAAGCTGCTCAATGGACAGAATTTCCAGGCGAAAGCAGCTCTGTTGGGTGTTGTAACCAGTTTGTCCCAGGTATGAGCATTGCCATTATTGAATGCTGTTCATTTTAGCCACTATCCCTCCGCCACTCATAGATCTCCCGAATTGGTCAACCTTCTCGCATTGCTTTGTGCTTGGATCTATTTCGAGCTAAAAGTCAACCAGTTTTGAAGCACTTCTTAATTCCTTGATTTGATAAATTGATTAAATTCTCATGTTTGGTTGGTCAGCTTAGAAGTAGTTGGGGGCTTTTGTTGTTGATGGTTCCCTTTCTAATCTGATGGTATCAATTGAAGTTTAAGTTTCAATGGGTGAATAATGAACGTATAAATTGAGTTCTGGCACATTTAGTAAATGGTTGTTATGTGGTGTGTGGCTTATATTCCATCACTCTTGTCTACAAGTTGGTCTTTGGTGCATTTCCTTTTCCTTGGTGTCTAAAGGGATTGCAAATGAAGATGAATTTATCATCATGCTTCATGATCTGTTGCAATCTGGTTAGTGGCCTAGTTGTGTTTGTTCTTTTAGTTACTGATAGCACTGAAGTAGAAGATGGCGATCTTGTATCCATATGTATTCATATGTTTCAGATGTCTGCTCAAGCCCCCAGTTCTAGATTGTAAGAAAGGAATAGTCTTTTATCTTTAGATCATAGGTGACAATCTATTCAAAGGCATCTCCAATTTTAGACTAAATGTAGAACATAAACAGGCAGGCTGCAAACTTATTTGTCCTTCTATTGCCCTTTTCTATTGAAAGGTTTTATTCCCCTGTTTTCATCTTATGAGAGGTTCTGGATGATCTCATTCTTCTATGGGTTTTTGCTTTAAAATTTCATATGGATCTTACTTTGTGGATATAATTTCTTTCGTCTGGTCAATCAATTTTTTTTTTTTTTTGCGTCCTCTCTGCAAACCATGCAAAATGAGCTCAGAGGTAAACCTACAAAGTCCTAGAATCTCTTGGTCGTCCTCTCTGTCCACCCATTTTGCCCAGGTTTCCCTCAAGCAGCAGATACTAACGTCTTTGTCTAAAGTGGCTGATAATGACACCTACAATATTGCAGTCAAAGACCTTGATTCCATTGTGCGAAACCTGTCTCTTAGTGATCTTCCAGTACTTCTCAATGCTCTATATTCCAGTTCCTCTGATCCTATTAATAAACCTATAATCAGGAGGGAATCTATCTATTTACTCTCACTTTGTTGTCAATATCATTGTGACTTAAGATTACCCACTTTGAGTAGAATCGTTACCCACATTGTTAAAATGTTGAAAGATCCGGACCCTAGTGTAAGGAAAGCTTGCTGCAGAGCTATTGGGATTTTGTCAGGGTTATACTTGAAACAGGAGGTAGTCAATGAGGCCAGATTAAAATTATTTGTGGGACCATTATTTGATGCTTTGAGGGAGCAGAATGAAGTTGTGCAATCAGAAGCAGCTATTTGCATGGCAAAGATGGTGGAGTGTGCTGCAACCAACAACACTGTAGGAGCAGAATTTAAGGATCTATTCCCTAGGATTTGTAGAGTGCTGAGTAGTAAGAGTTTTCGAGCCAAGGCTTCAGTTTTGAGCACTGTCTCCATCTTCTCACAGGTTTTAATTATGCGATATCAATGTATATTCTGACATTTTTGTGTTCTTTTTGTTTATTTACTAGGTTGATGTGACAGAGGCAATGAGATACTGTCGTATAGGTTAAGACCCGATTTGATACATGTCACAGAAATTATTTAGGAAAGAAATATGAAAATGAAGTTACTTCCCTAAACATCTGGATGTTATAATCCCCGCTTCTTTGTTCTCTGTATGCTGTATCTAACGAAAAGAATGAGGTGAAACAAAATCAATGGAATCCATGCTGTTGCATTATGTGACTAGGATTGTTCTAGAATGTTAATTAGTGAATACTTGACTTTATGGCTCTGCATGAATGGGACCATATCCAGACTTGTAAGGAGGATTGAATAACGTGCAGGTAGGAGCAGTTGCTCCACAAAGCTTGCAACCATTGCTGCAGAGTATTCACGACTGCCTTAGCAGTACAGATTGGCCAACACGCAAGGCTGGAGCTGATGCTTTAACTGCCTTAGCAGTCCATTCCTGCAGCTTAGTTTCAGCCGAAGCTGCTGATTCTACATTCACGGCGCTTGAGGCTTGCCGTTTTGATAAGGTTTTATCTTCCCTCATGCTTTGATCATGTTATGTATTTGTAATTAACATTTATATCTAGTTACTTCTATATCTGGAGTGATTTGATCTTCATTCTGCTCCTCTTTTATGGTTTATCATGCTTGTGTTAATCAACTCGTCGTGGGGGGTGGGGTGGGGGGGGGGGGGGGGGGGTTCTGAGGTTTTCACATCTCTACATTGGTTGCAATGTTTCAGCAACTTATATATTTGTAAAAACTTATGGAGGAATGAAATGCCTTTGTATAGATAATGCGAATGTCTAAACTAATGCGACCCCAAGGAAATTCAATACTTTATCGTTTCAACTTTTTGTTGCCTGGAAAACGCTTCATACCTTTTTGAATGTGATTCCTGTTAAACTTAAAAATCTCGTATTTTATCCAACAGATAAAACCTGTTAGAGATAGCATGAATGAGGCATTGCAATTATGGAAGAAGATTGCAGGGAAAGGAGGCGATGGGGTTTCAGATGACCAGAAAGCTTCCTCTCCAGGTGAATATTTCACATAGTAGTTTTTCCTTGAGCAAATGAACCCAATAATACCAGTCAACTATTCTGGTTGCTTGTTGACAAACATCAAATCCTAACATTCTTTAGGTGGTGAAAATCGAGAAACTACCGAGTCAACAGAGAAAGGTTTGAATGCAAGAAACAGAAGTCTAGAGTCCCCTGCCATAGATCTACCTAGTGGCTCTCCCCCAGTCACTAATTCTGCTGCAAAGGCCCAATCTGGAAACATACCAGATAAGACAGTTGTAATATTGAAGAAGAGAGCACCTGCGCTGACAGACAAAGAACCGAACCCAGAATTCTTCCACAAACTAGAAACAAGAGGCCCTGATGAATTGCCTGTTGAAGTTGCTGTCCCTCGTCGGTGCAATAATTCCTCTAGTCTAAACAATGAGGAAGAACCAATATCAAACAATACAGAACTGAAGGAGAGATCAGATCCCTCAGCAAATCACAGGTCTGATGAGCTGTATTTCAATAATAGGTACCGCATCAGTGATAGAGGAACCGTGGGGAGAGATCCCAAAAGCAGAGCATTTGATGATGAACGGGGTGATTACAACAATAGGGGGGAGACTGCTGGAAATCGCGCTGCAGGTATCTCCAAAACTGATGGGCAGTCGGAAGGATCCTTGGGAAATAGTAGAGGAAATTGGTTGGCAATTCAAAGGCAATTGCTGCAACTAGAAAGACAACAGACGCATCTTATGCATATGCTTCAGGTATATATGTTGAACTTTTGACCAAGAATATCTTGTCATCATCACAGCTTCATTTTCGCTATAACTAGTGCTCCACATTTTCAGGATTTTATGGGTGGATCTCATGATAGCATGGTGACCCTGGAAAACAGAGTTCGAGGTCTTGAGAGAGTTGTTGAAGACATGGCACGAGATCTGTCTATGTCCTCTGCTGGTAGGAGGGGTGGTAGCAGCTTTGCCATGTCTTTTGATGGTTCATCTTCTAACCGATCATTGGGCAAGTACAATGGCTTCTCAGATTATTCTAGTGCAATGTACAATGGTCGGGGTCCTTTTGGGGATAGATTTGTGCAATCTGATGTGAATGCTTCAGCTGCGAGGGGGAGAAATCCGCACTGGAGGGCGGACACATCTGATACTTGGGATTTCCCCTCGTATGGGTCTAGAAATGGTCAGGTTGGCTCAAGAAGAGCTCCAGGTGGTGGAAGTGCTCTAGGGTCACCAAAATCTGAGCATGAAAATGATCAAGTTGGCAGCAGCAGGAGAGGTTGGGATAAGGGCGGTGGTGGGCCCTCTAGGCTTGGTGAGGGGCCTTCTGCTAGAAGTGTTTGGCAGGCATCCAAAGATGAAGCAACTTTGGAAGCCATCCGCGTTGCTGGGGATGATAATGGATTGTTATCACGGACTGCCAGGGTGGCCATTCCTGAATTGACTGCTGAAGCCATGGGAGATGACAATGGTGTTGAGCAAGAGCGGGACCCCATTTGGACTTCATGGAGTAATGCCATGGATGCCCTAAAAGTTGGTGACATGGATACAGCTTATGCTGAAGTGACTTCCACTGGAGATGATATGTTGCTTGTGAAGATTATGGACAGGACGGGACCTGTGGTCGATCAACTCACGAATGAAACAGCATGTGATGTCTTTCATGCTATTGCTCAGTTCTTGCTGGATCACAATTTGTTCGACCTCTGTTTCTCTTGGATTCACCAGGTATGTCTGTTATGTCATTACTCAAACTAACAGGAAGCTGAGAATAGGCATAACACTCTGATATTTAAAAATGAAGTGAAGATAGAAATTTTCTCATCCTTTTGGCCTAGACCTGGATTTTACTTGCAGTGTGTTATTAGGTTAACGGTAGGGCTATTTTGCAGAAGTTTGTCATGAGAATGGGAGTCTATAGTTGGTAAAAGTAGGACTGGGATTGCAATCATTCCACTAGGGTGTTCATTTGCTGGGAACGCAGAATAGAATGGGGCTAGCTATCACCTCCATTTCTGTCGACTTGGTATATGTCTGGAAGTGAGTCTCTTGATAATAGTTAGCACCGTTAATGGGAGCTGCTGTACAGTTATTCCTCTTTGGAATTGCAGTGTTTCGGATACCATACCGGTTGGTTGTTCTGCTTAAACTATCTATCCATGACAAGCCAGTATGTATTTGTCATGGTTTTGACACAGATTTGCTATTCTACTTCAAACTATTTGCCTAGCTGGTTTGATCTCTGTTACGGTTTCACATTTATCGGGGATCCGACACTTTTTCTAAGGCGTACCCACTTTTTGCTGTCAGGTCTCTCTTAGACTCTTTCAATGCAATGTCCTTGTTAAATCAATCATGGTTGTGGAATTCAGTTCTCATATAAAGAACTGGTATTATCTTTAGATCGTTTTGATTTGACTGGATCTCTGCTTGTTCTTTTCAGTTGGTAGACATAGTAATGGAGAATGGAGCAGATGTTCTGGGGATTCCCATGGAATTGAAGAGGGAACTTTTGTTGAACCTACACGAAGCTTCCACGGGAATCGATCTGCCAGAGGACTGGGAAGGTGTGGGGCCTGACCAACTCCTGCTGCAGTTGGCATCAGCTTGGGGCATTGAACTGCAACAGTTTGACAAGTGAAGCAACTAGCAACTCCTTTAAGTCCAAGATTGTGAACATGGATCCAGTGTCGTGCCAGTTCGATTTTCTTGCATGTTTTTGAGCTTTTTGTTGATAGATCTATCAAGTATTGACCCTGTATCTTTTTGCAGTTTTCGTTCCTTTTGCTACTTTATTGGAGAATACCTATATTTGATCTGGAGAGTTAAAAGGTGTTGTAAATGGATATACAGCTTCGTGATAGCAAGGATTTGGTGTTGAATTAGTTGCCAACTTGACCGCCCTGGCTGGTCCCTCCCAGAACCAAAGTCCGGCAAAACAACGAATAAGAAAGGGAATGTGTACGAACAGTTCAAACTGACATACACGTCCAGAAACTAATTGCAACTCGAATTCACAAATCCATAAATTCACACATTCAATCTTCCAACTCCAAATTATATACCTACGTATCTCAAAATGTTATCAGAGTCGAGCGATGAGCCATATATACATCACGAGTTACTGCAATTCCCAGGAGAATGATATTGCTTACTACCCACAGAACAAAACTTACACTAGTGCCGCAAACAAAATGTCCCGGGTCATGTATGGAACATGGAAGGCCGATGGATAACAAGTTCTAAATGGAGCTGAGTCTGTCAGTCTGATAAACCCATTGGTAACCAGAATGAAGCCCAGCTAGATATTTCTCCACATCACCGGGTGGGCACTGCCCACCCAGCTCAAAATCATAAATAGAAGGACGAGACGCCATTATAATCTGAGGACCTTGCGACAAACCCACTTGTGGTGGCAACAAAACTTGTAAAACTTTACTTGGCCGCATACCAGTTTTGGGCACACTTGGCATCCACAGAGAGATCCACTTTAAGAACATTCTTGCCTCCGAATGGGTTTGACATGCACTCGACCACGACTGCCTTGGCATCTTCCGCAGAGTCCATGGGTCCTTCCAAAATCACTTCATCATGAACCTGCATTTACTTCCTACTGTTACTTTCCAGATAGATCAATTACATATAATATCCTAATTGGTCAAGAAGTGATGCAATTTCTCAAGACCAAAACTCAAGGCAAGGAGAAATGGATAGCTTTGAAGCTAGACATGGAAAAGGCTTATGGTAGAGTAGAATGACCTCTGTTATTTGAGTTATTGAAAGGCTTGGGCTTTGGAGACAAATGGCTCAAATGGTTAAGGTCATGTGTGACAACTGTATCTTTCTCTATTGTATTAAATGGATTTATTCATGTATACTTTCATCCCCAAAGAGGCATTCGGCAAAGGGATCCTCTCCCCCCTCCTATTCGCTCTATACACAGAAGCCTTTTCCTCCCTTATAGAGAATGCCATTAGTAATTCTACCCTTCATGGCTTGCGTATACATAGGGAAGCTCCCTTGATGTCCCATCTTTTCTTTGCGGATGACTCTTACCTTTTCTTCCGAGCATCCTCTACTGAATGTATCAACTTGTTAGAAATACTTCATGATTACGGAGTTGTGAGTGGCCAACCCATATTCATGGATACTTTCTTCAGAAATCAGCTGTTACATTCAGTGCAAATGTCTTAGATTCTGAAGCTGCTCACCTGGCCAGATTGCTTGGTGTGTCAACGATTGGGGCTCATGATCGATATCTAGGACTACCATCCCAGGTTCATAGATCTAAAATCCAAACCTTCTGATATATTGAGGACTCTTTAGCAGCCCGAACACGCCAATGGAAGACAAAACACATGTCTTTGGCTGGCAAAGAAGTAGTCATTAAAGCAGTAGGAACATCAAAACATGCTTGGGAACTTCTTCGTGACCCGGATAGTATCATTGCAAGAATGTATAAAGCTAGATACCATTACAATGACCATTTCCTTCAAACTCGCCAGGGAGCCCGCCCTTCATGAGCTTGACAAGTTATCTTGCAAGGGAGAGACCTATTGAGCAAAGGCTTACGTTGGCAGGTAGGATCAGGATCTAGGATAAATACGTTACAAGATCATTGGATTCCAACAGACCCTCCATCTAGCCCTATTCTTCTAACAGGTGCTTCCCTTGATCACCCATTGGTGTCATTCATTCTAGACTCTAACTCTATGGTATGGAATACAAACTTACTTAAAACCCTATTTCATCCGGTTACGGTCGAACAAATCTTATCCATCCCCCTCCCGTCCTCCCCTCAAGATGACAAATTGATTTGGCACTATGACAAGTCTGGTCACTACACAGTGAAATCAGGATACCATCTCCTTTCGTCTGGATTAAACCCACTCACTAATGCCCTTCCAGTTTTTTTGAACACCAAATTCTGGAAATATCTGTGGAATATTCCAATACCTCCCAAACTCAAATTCTTCCTTTGGAGATTGGTACGTTGATTCCTACCATTTAAAGGATTTCTGTTTTACAAGAAAATTACTTCATCAAGTCTCTGCCCGGTTTGTTGTGAGGCAAATGAGGACTTCAAGCACTGCTTTTTTGATTGTAGAATCACTAGAGAATTGTGGGCAATCAGAACTCGACTAGATCAGAGAAATGATGAAGGCAAACTCTATGGACCTTGCGTGGAGAAACCTCTTTTTTATTCCCCATATCTCCAAGAACGATGTAGCCTACATAGTCTTCTTGTTCTGGAGAATATGGAAAGGCCGATATAAGGCTACTCATGGATACATCTTCTACAAAGCACAAGTTTTATACAGGCAACTGTCAGTGCATGTGGAGGAATGGAAAACGATAGAGGCACAGAAGGTCCAGAAGTCCGAAGAAGTCCAAAGGCCATCGCCACACTCTTCCACAGGCCATAGTTCTCAGGCACGGAGCACAGATGCTACATGCCCTAGTGACGGTGTTCTAGTCTACTTCGATGGAGATACAAAAATTTCCCAAGGATGCTCTACTGGCTTCGTTGGCTTCTAAAGTGATTAAGTCATTTCATTTGCAGTTGGTAAATTCTATGATGACATTACTGATCCTTATACATCAGAATTACTTGCTATTCGTGATGCTATGAGATGGTGTCTCATCCATAATTTCTTGACTGTTGCTTTTTGTGGGGACTCTCAATTGGTGATCAAGGACGTAACATCGAAGCAAGCCTCTCATTCAAGAGCGGGAGACATTTTAGAGGAAGTTCACTATCTTCTTCCCTCCTTTTCCTCAGTCTTGTGTCACTTTGCTCCTCGGAGTTTCAACAGAGCTGCCCACCTTGTGGCTAAACATGCTCTTTTATCGGGAGTCCGGTTGCATACGGACTACCGTTCTTTGTTAGTGTCTCTCTTTTAACTGTGTTGTCCGGCCATGCCCTGGGGCTTATCTTGGATAAAAAATACTATGACCAGAGCTTACACAGATTCGTCAAACAAAGCTCCTTTTGGTGGGATTTTTAGTTCCCAAGTTTTAGACCAAATGGAATTCCGTTTCCACACCCAAATACAGAAGTTGGAAATGAAATTGGAAATTACATCCCCTCTATTGAGTTTTTCACTTATCCAATAATGAAACAAAACATGACAAGGTAATTATGGAAAAAAGATTACAAAACGTGTAACAGTAGTCTCCAACCTAGCTCTTTCAAACGTTCGTTTCTCATGATTTCCAACATGGCACACATAGCAACATCACCAGCACTACCCTGCACCAGCGATTTCAAATGAATCAGGATAGAAAGTGAGGGATTAGAAAGAGGCAACTGCTCCAGGAAGGTAATGAGAATGCTGGGTGAACTTGCACGGGTGTGTTGATAGCAGCCCTTTCGATATGATTTTTCTGAGAACAACTCATATGCTTTGAAGATGGGAAATGACGAGCGCGTCCCAGTAGTGTATGTAAACATCCTATTATATTAGCTTCCTGCTTACGAGCTTTTGCCATATCAAGACTTCTTGCCTTTCTCTATACCATAAATCAACGGTTTCCTTTTCTTCGTCTGCTGAAACCTATGGAAGTCCAACCATGTTATTAACCACATCAACCAAACATTTCCATGATCCAAGAACACGTCTTGTGGAAGGTGGCTTATAGCAGCTTACCTTCCAATCGCGTGCTAGTCCAACTGGAGTTTTTTCATATGCAATAGAAAAGTTGAGCATCTTAGCTTTCCTTCTTTCTGAAGCAAACCGATCCCGTAACAAAATTTAATACAGTAAACAATTCATTAACTGATCATTTAGTTTTCATGAGCTCAGAAGGGAAGCCAAGAATGAAGCTCGGTGCTTCAACTAAGATAAACGACAATAGCAAAAAATAGCAGAGCAAATAACATCCAAAATATGTCAGGTTCATTCCATGTACAACAAAAAGCATGAAGTGGACTCATACAATCACAACTCAACCTACACTGAACTATTTCCTAATAGGATCCATCAGCATAACAGCTAAATGCTTGTGTAAGATGTATAGCCTCAGATTTTTTCCCTTGGACGTTTCTACATGAAATTAATGGGAGAGAACTACTGTCAGAAACAGATGAAATTATTGAGTTGGAATAGTACAATACTACAATCCTTCTGTATAGAACAAACATCAGGGGAGGAAAGAGCAACTCAAAGTTTCAGATATTACTACTGAATATGAACACTTCCATCAAATAGGCATGCAAGCATACACTAGAGAACAAGAAGAGCTCAACCATACCTTCAACAATGGAACTGGTGGTTTTTCTTGACCTGGTTGAGAATACCACTCTAGAAGCACTTCCTTCCTCTCAACGGCCTCATGAATATGAGGATACATATTCATTGCAGTTCTTGAGTGGAAATCGCCACCAGCTTCAAAAGCTCTTATCATGCTTTCACAGCTAGCTAGGTGAGCAAGAATCCTAAGTTCCAACTGTAAATGAACATTTTGTTTAACTACATCAGCCATTAAATGGAGTTCAATTAGTAATTGATACTAAACACCTGCCCATAATCAGCAACAATAAGGGAGTTGCCAGGCGCAACAGCAAATGCTTGGCGAATCTTGTATCAGTCCTTTTCCAAAGCTGGCTGATTCTGATGGACAAGAGAACAAGATTTCAATACTAAGCTCTTCCCAATACTTTTTTTTTCGTTGAATTTTCCCAATACTTTTTCGAAGAGAGCAAAAAGTTATTAATCTGTCAACTTCAATAATGAAACTTGGTAGACTCAAGCTACAACTAGCGAAATTCAATTGGAACACTTTGATGCTTGTGCTACTACTGGAAATTTTAATTCCTGCTTAGATTGAGTAATTTAAAGCGGTCT